TACATACACAAACACAATCAAATTCATACAATAATGATTCATTATTATTACTAATTTATTAATATACATATATATGTGTGTGTATATATGAATAATATATGCACTTTTTTTTTAACATGACCGGAGACACTACCGCGTCTCCTGATATATACAATAATAAATAACGAATTATTATATAATTTCTATTTTAATTTATTTGAAATCGTACGATATGGTAATTAATAAATGATAAGTAAAAATGTACGAGTAAAAGAGAAACGTCGTATTAACGTGTTCTCACTCATCAGCTGAAAACGGACGGTTTACTCAAAAATACTCGCGTATACGTTTCTCGTTTATCAGCGGAAAAACAAGTACTGAAAACGGACAATCTCCTCGAAAATACTCATTGCATACTCGTGTATACTCACTATTGGTCCTTCATGATACACTGCGAGTGCTTACGAGTGTAAGAAACGAGCAAGAACGGGCTAAAAACGGGCTAAAAACGGTCCACATAAAGTCTAAAAACGGTGAAAAATTTTTATAAGGGTCATAAAATGTGTGCAATCGGAGCCTTCCCAGTTGCTTTACCTACACTGATTCTCAGATAATTCTCACTTATGACGTCATAACTCAGTTGAATACGCGTTTCTTTTGCATTCTGACAAGTGAGATTCAACTGAGTATTTACCTATAATCCGCACAAGATCGAAACTGTGCTTTAGTGAGTTTCGTAAAATCAATCCAAAGTGGGGTTATGAACCTATATTGACATGAGATAACTTTTTACAAAAGTAAACAAGTAGTGACGTCATAATCTGAGTATAAAATACTCAGCTCACTTCAAATTCAGTTTCACTTGTGTATACTGGAAAATAGCTATATAGTCTATTGAAGATGGGTAATTGTGCGCATTTCAAACCGCCTGCGCACAGTTACCCGCCACGATCTGACTCTATATGAAATACGATTACTTCAATACTAGTTAACCAAACTTAATAAATAACGGGTCGAAAGGCGCACATAATAACGTAATTTAATAACGTATGCAACTTTAAACCAACAAATTAAAAATACGGACTTACCACCTTATTTTCTGAACGCTGACATAACAAGAAAATGTATGTTTTCACTTTTTTTATCTTTCACTGTTTATCAATGTACTTACGTCATATCTTTTGTGGTTATAACTTAAGAGGACGACCTCCTGCGTAAAAATTTCATCACGGCGATGTCTCTATCTATCGGCAAAGTACCAAACCAGAATGCGCACAATTACCCGCTGCGCACAATTTGCCCACTTTCCCCTATAGCCAAATACAAATTTATGAAAAATATTTATAAAAGGCTTTTGATACTTTCAACCATGACCTAATTTCAATCAAACTCAAGCAATACAGTCTATCTTGTTCGGCCCTATCGCTAAACTGCTCGTTCCTTACAGATCGCACGCAGCAAGTCCTCATATATAATCCTTTTCCGCTTTCCTCCTCTCCTCGTGCCATTTTCTCTGGAATACTCTAGGGTTCCATTCTCGTAGTTTTACTTTTAATATTTTTGTCTCTGATTTGTCTAACGTTTCTCTGTCCTCCGATCTTTTCATTTATGCAGACGATGTAATTTTTCTCAAATCCTTTCATCCATTCGATGCTTTAGTAGATTGTTCTGCTTTAAATAAATATCTAAAATCTATTGCCGAATAATTCAAGTAGTGAAATATACAAAATTATAGACTTCTTTAATTAATACAATAAAATATAACAGCGAAATTTAACTGGATGTTAGGAGACTGCGCTGGGTGCTATCTTGCACAAAAATTAATTGTGAATAATAAATTAGATTTGTACGATTCGGCTTACGTTTTGAGTCAGCCTCAGTCTTGAATCAAGACAAGGCCAAGACAAGAAAATGAAAATTGATTTTAAGACAAGACAAGAAATTGTTATCAAGACCAAGATTTCTTGACAAGAAATCAAGAAATTTCTTGAATTTCAGTAACCGTTTTTATTTTTAATATTTTATTATTTTAATGTTTTAATATTTTATTTCTGATTCGAAAAGTTTTGCATAAGTTAGGTTTCAACATTTCCAATTGTATTTATTATAATATATAGTAATTATAATAATAATAAATAGAATAATA